TTGTTTATTGAGTAAGATAATGTTCTTTTATAATACATATTCCCGCGATCGTGAATTGTTCGTAACAGGTCTCAATATGCAGCGGTGTACAGTAAGAAATCGTGTCCTCAAATACACATACGGTATTGAAATTAAGTCAGAATGGAAACCAGGAGACCCGCCTCAACGTCGCACTGCTGATGGTCGCATAAACATCTTCAAACGTCTTGCTCAGCGTGGCATGGAAGTATCTGCCGATTCTAAATTTGGATATGAATTGATGCCAACATCTCCTGATCAGACAGAAATGAAGATTGACATATACACCACTTGTGAAGATACAGCAAAATATTGTGATGACCCTGGCGTGAAGCTGCTTGGAGTTCTGTCTATTAGTAAGTTATTGGTGATTAGAAAGTAGTGAATTTGAATGTGTACATGTACATGAACGATTTTATGTTGTAAACAATTTCTCTATGCTTATTATTGCGCCAGCCAGTATTTCTTACTAACAAATCATTTACTGTAGAGTTACCTAACGCTAATCTCGGACTTGCTCGGTCGGTAAATTTTAGCCTTATGTTTGGAAAAATGGAAATAGAAGCACAGGCTAAAGACACACTGACTGGGAATACATATGAAACTTCATTCGCTCTCTCTCTATAAATTAATTATTAATTTGTAATCGTGTTTGATAGTTCAATGGCTTATAAATAAAGGATACAATGGGTTTTTTTATAGATTGGTTTAACTTTCCCTTTGTGTTAAATTTTCCCATCTTGATAACACTTTCGTATGACACATTTTTGCAATGGGAAATTATTACATATTGGTAATTGGTAAATTTGCGGGAAGCCATTCGCTTTGATTTTTTAAAATCATATTACGATATTTATACGACTTTATTACCACGCTACGGATACTTGCAAATGGAGAGACCAATCATATGTGTGAGAGTATTAATAGTATGGTTTAGTCCAGAGGGAGTGGGGATAAAAAGATTGGCAAGGATACCGTCACCAGATAAAATTGTCAATCAGCTAGCCAATTAGTGAAAAATCTTTATTGTGTATATTTGTTATCGTTTTAAATCTAAATTCGTTGTACATAGCGAACCTGTATATAACAAAACTTGGAACAATGTTTTTTGATGTCCCAAACTTTTGTCCGTACTTTGCGAAAAATCGGTGCAGCTGTCCTTACTTTTTTCTATCTTCCAAAATATAAATATTTATTCTCAAATAAATGTTTTGGCTAGCAGACAATAATTACCTAGATTTGCCCTTTGTAACAATTTGCAATATCGTAATCATTGAGTAATAGTGAGGACGATACTATTTGGTGTATTATCTATGTCGTAATATATTTAAGCTTTTATTGCATCATTATTTAGTTATTATGCAGTCATAGTTATATACAGATATCGTCGCGGGAATATGTATTATAAAAGAACATTATCTTACTCAATAAACAATGACTTTTTAGCTGAATATCTAATAAACTGTTCACTGACTTTGAGATTACTAACATTATTTCGAAGTCTTTTACACCCTTTTTGCTTTGGCGTCCCCAAGATATTGATGTTATTGTGTGTACATGTAGTATGTCAGTTTGGAATTATTGAATAAGAGACGAAACTCGGGCAGATAATTACGTGAAAGGGGCAATTTTAAGTTTCTATCATGTTTTTTTTTGTATAAACTGAAAGAAAGTATCGATTTGCAAGTAAAGTGTTTTCTTGTCCCAGAGTACGCTCTCGCGCAGGTTTAAAATAAACAAGGTGCACCTTGGTTTTTTAAGTCGCACTTATAGTCTGAGTTGGGTTGTCGTTATTCGACCAAGATCCGTATGATTACAACTGGATGTCTTGTTCTTCAAGAGCATAAGTTTTAAAATGAGGGACTTACTAATTTATTCTGATTGTTTCATTTATTTGGCAATAATTAGGAGAACGTTTTAGCACTCCCTGTTGTTGGTATAAACTAATTGTGTCGTCCATTATTTTCTTTTACATATTTGCAATGTGTAATATTTACAATAGTTTGTGATAAATTTTCCAGACTTATCTTAGTACGATAACTCTGGAGATGAGTTTATATTATTCTTGCCATATTGTAGGATTTTTTGGCCGATTTATCACTACTGGGTGCTATGAAAAGATATTTCTGTCTTGTAGCCGGTTTTGGCAATTGTATGAAGCAACGGATAGTAATAGAGAAAAATACTCAGATTTTGTAGACGTTGGGAACGTAAATATAGGATGTATAGGATGCATGCCAAGTATTAAATGTACACCTTTAGCGTTCAATCGTAGGTGTAAACAAATAAAGAACGCAAAACTCCAAGTATTAAATGTCAATGTTCGATATATTTCATAAGCACCCAGGCTTATGTCGATGGGAAATGGTACATACAGTATTACTACTGCTTTATTCTTTTTATAACTTGTCCCATTTGTCAGATTAAACAAAACAGTTGGTTATGTACAGGAAGGTGGTATCATGAATTAGTTTACTATCATGTGCGGTCGTTTATGTAACCTTGCGATCATATATCATTCGTAACATCTCGATATGAGTGTAGTAATAACAAGCTTCGATGTAACTGCAGGACCAAGTCTCGATGTGATATCTCGTATTATTAAATATAGGGTCCTATTCTTCAAAGGGCAACATAAGTTTAGAATTGCTTATTTGTATTGAATTGTTTCGCAAGAGAAATTTGCTGGCTGCTTATTGGCGATAACTCGGAACAAATAAGCTTGCTCTCTGGCAACAAATTATTACGCCATTGTCATACAACTCCGGAACGTACTTCCTTCATTATTTTCTTTCCTTATATATTTGCTGTTGTAGTAATAAGGCGTGAGTAAATACTGCATTTCATTGTAACCTTCAGACAAATACTGCTTGTCCGCCCTGTGCAATGTACACGAGCAACCTGTCCTCGGTATGACGTACAATAACTCCGGCGTTTAATTTATACACAGTCACTGCAGTAAAATGGACATCACCTTAATGTTTCTCATGATTTGGATATTTTGTTCGTATCTTTTAATAATTCACCTTATAGTTTAGAGTACTATAGTAATCATGTCTGATTTGCCTTTCTGGTCACTACCGGATAGAGCCAAGAAGGATTTCCGTATTGTAGTCGGTATCGGTAAGTGTATGGAGCAAAAGATAGAAGGCATGAATGTGAAATACACTCGTTTGGTTTGTGACGATGCCAGAATCAGGAAAAAAGCAATAGTTAACTTCATTTGATTTGAATTTGTAGACTTTGGGACAACCTTCTCAAGTAAACGCTATAATAATAATGCATAAATGCATACTAAATGTATTTAAATCTCGAGACTAATGACCTATATCCTCTCAATAGGCTATGCCTTTGCTGACAAAGAAAATCCGAATCAAATCGAAAGCCAAGACACATGGTATGAACGTATTAACGTCTAGAATTATATAAATAAATAGTCCTTCGTAGTTAGAGACGGTAAATATAATTTGTCTTTTACTCTTATTTTCCAGGCCAGAAGAAAAAGGTCCGCTGAGAACAAACACCGCTCTCCAATATGACAATGAATGGAAAGTAATCAAATGGGGATATGCTGCATTGGCTGAGCGCCCTAGAACGAAGAAATTATTTGCTCAGCCTGAGAATCGTCCCGTAGAGCTGTTTAAATTGCATCTGGGAAACATGCCTCAGGATCGAAAACCGAGATTGCCGATGGGGTTAGACTATCGAAAAGCAATTACAGATTATCTTACAAAACTGAATGAGGTGGGTAATGATTATGCTTATGCTCGTGTCTTAGAAATTATGCATAACAGCACAGAAATAAATGTGTCCATTTTAATGCTATTTCCAATAACCGAATAATGAACGGGATTCGATGAGCTTTATGACTGACATTTTACGTCTTGATGTGAATGTTTTAATTGTTCATTTTTTTTTTTGCTGTTTCATATCACTTCGTAGTCTATTAAGGAGACAATACAAGCAAGATGGCCGAACTTTGACTATCACTCTCACGTAATCAAAATCATGACGGTACCAGCAGAATATGATGAGAAAGCACGGCATATTATGCGCATGTGCGCATTTGAGGCGGGAATAATAAACACTTTAAACTCGGAAAGCTTAGAGTTTACCACTGAACGTGAGAATATATGCTGATGTTTGTCGAAATTAGCAGTTTTTCCAATGTATTAATAATATTCTTTCTCAATAGCTGAGGCGGCAGCGATATATTGCGTGAGCGCGTTGAAAGAACATAATCTTAACCCTGGCTGTAAGTGTACTAGAAATATTTGCATTTGCGAATTCACTGAGACACGATGGTCACTAATTACAAAACGGCCTACAGCTACTTTCTTAGTGGTATATTGTGGTGAAGACACAGTAGACCTGACAACATGGACTCTTCTTGCTGATAACAAACTGTCTGAAATCATAGAACGCACTGGTGACTTTTGCGGCAGCGCTTACGTTGATCGTGAATTCATAAAATATATTGCATCAGTAATAGGCAATTCGGCTGTGCGTAATGTCGAGGAAAAGCACAATACTCAACTGCAGTACATGATTCAGCAATTCCACCCTGCAGTCAAATTTGGGTTCAATGGGGAGCGTGCCGAATTCATGACGAAGGAAGTGGATATTGAAAAACTCTGTCCAGCATTGATGCAATACGTTCAGGGAGAGGAAAAAGAACGAATGGAGGACTCAGAATGGATAATTGAGCTGGATTACGAGACTGTTAAGAGTTTCTTTGATCCAGTTGTTGAAAGAATTTTACGATTAATAAGAAACCAACTGTGCAAGACGGGAGCTACGTCAGCAATATTCTTGATTGGAGAACTTTTAGAATCAATGTATCTATTACGGAGGGTTAGGAGCGAATTCTCAAGTGAAGTTGGTACTATTGCTGTTCCACCACGACATATTGCTGCTGTCTCACGGGGTGCGGTATACTATGGTATGTTTATGGAAAGCTCCCTGTTATGTACAGGAAGGAAGGGGATATTGTGAATTTGTGTACTATTATGTGCGGTCGTTTATGTAACACGCGATCGTGAATCGTTCGTAACAGGTCTCCATATTAGTGCAGCAACAAGCCTCGATGTAACTGCAGGACCAAGTCTCGCAGGGCCAAGCCTCGATGTGTAACTGCAGGACCAAGTCTGGCAGGACCAAGTCTCGATGTGACTGCAGGACCAGTAGTATAATCTGTCCATACTGCGGTCACGGGACAAAGGTAATCAGCACCTGTACATATTTATGTAAGTCACAATCGTCAGGAAGTGGCAAGTAAATATATTGTCCAACTTGCACAGAGATTTCGACAAAAAGGTTTTTTACATTATAAGCAATGTATGGTGATACAATTTTTTTTTACAAAATCTCCTTTTGAGTAAATTGAATTTTTGATTGCTTCATACAGTATTTATGAATGTAAGAACTTTGGTTACCAATTTCATTTTGAACATTCCAATACGATTATACTCACAGCCTCATTTGTGTGTTGCCTCTAACGACTCGACACCGCAGCCAATAAAAACCTATATCTTATTTATTTCTCTATAATCATGTTATTCGTAATTTATTTTAATTATATTTTTATTGCGCTAATTTTAACAATAAGAATATCACCGACATGGTTAAAAATAATAAATACACAAAATGTGTTGGCATTCCCGGCCTGGTATTATACTACGTTGATTGCGTGCGTGAATAAGGAAACACCTGACTGGAAAAAAAAATTTTTTTACTTGAAAATTGTTTGAATTATTTCGACAATATGTTTGATTTAATAGCTGTATAATATATGTCCATAATCTATCTCAGCAGAAATAGTGGTAAGTGACTTCACTACTACGTACATTTGGAGGCGTATAAAGATTCGTTTTTTTGAGTTGTGCGGCTCATCTTAACTGGTTCAACCGGCATTCAATTTATCGTATCGATGTACAAGTTGAGGTACCATATAAGTATGAGATGTTGTTGGTGATGCTTTTTAACACTCTTTTTACTTACTATTACGGAAAATGGCAATGTCATATGATCAGTGAGTGGTCTCTGCTACATTAATATGTGGAATTACTTTGATGTGAGTGTTTCAAATTATCAATAATCTCTTTCTGAACGACTTTTTATATTACAAACGGCATTAAAACAGTACAATGTTTATGCACTTTTACTCGAAACAAAAGCTTCTTCCATAAACAATTCAACAAAGTAATACTGTTTCTGTCCACCATAACCACTACACTCCAGGAGATATCCCTAACTCTAACTATAATCTAAGAGGCTGATGTGAGAAATAAACAATGTTTTCTAATTGATCACATGAAATGTTTTGTTTTCATTAATATATTGATATCAGTGTAGTTACATGCCAGCACTGTCATGCTTTTTGTTAATTAAGGAAAATAAAGTTTCAGTACAAAACTCAAAATAAACAATACAAGAATGCTGCCAAACATTAACATCAGTTTTTACAATACAAACATACTTCTTTTTATAGGTAATTGTGTAAACCAATGTTTAATTACTTGCACTATATTTCCCCAGCCTTCAAGATGTCTCTGTGCTTTAGCATATCCTTGTTCAGCTGCTTTTTGGTACAGTTCAACTGCCTTCTTAACATCTTTCTCTACTCCAATTCCAAATTGATAGCAATAACCAAGGTTATATTGTGCATCAGCAAGACCTTGTTCAGCTGCTTTTTGGTACAATTCAACTGCCTTCTTAACATCTTTCTCTACTCCAGTTCCATGGTAATAACAATCACCAAGGTTATTCTGTGCATCAGTATGTCCATGTTTAGCTGCTTTTTGATACAACTCAACTGCCTTTCTAGCATCCTTTTTTACTCCAATTCCATAATGATAACAATAGCCAAGGTTATACTGTGCATTAGCAAGACCTTGTTCAGCTGCTTTTTGATACAATTCAATTGCCTTTTCAACATCCTTTTCTACTCCAGTTCCATAATAATAACAATCACCAAGGTTATCCTGTGCAACAGCATGCCCTTGTTCAGCAGCTTTTTGAAACCACTCAACTACCTTCTTAGCATCTTTTTCTACTCCAATTCCATGATAATAGCAAGAGGCAAGGTTACTCTGCGCATTAGCATGCCCTTGCTCAGCTGCTTTTTGATACAGTTCAGCTACCTTCTTGAAATCTTTTTCTACTCCAATTCCATGATAATAGCAAGAGGCAAGGTTATACTGTGCATTAACAAACCCTTGCTCAGCTGCTTTTTGATACAGTTTGACTGCCTTCTTAGCATCTTTTTCTGCTCCAATTCCATGTTGGTAACAATAGCCAAGGTTATTCTGTGCAGTAACATGTCCTTGTTCAGCTGAATTTTGATACAACTTAACTGCCTTTCTAGTATCTTTTTCTACTCCAATTCCATAATAATAGCAATAGCCGAGATTATACTGTGCATCAGTATGTCCTTGTTTAGCTGCTTTTTGATAGAGCTTAACTGCCTTTCTAGCATCTTTTTCTACTCCAATTCCATGTTGGTAGCAATAGCCAAGGCTATTCTGTGCAGTGACATGTCCTTGTTCAGCTGAATATTGATACAACTTAACTGCCTTCTTAGTATCTTTTTCTACTCCAATTCCATAATAATAGCAATAGCCAAGATTATACTGTGCATCAGTATGTCCTTGTTTAGCTGCTTTTTGATACAGCTTAACTGCCTTCCTAGCATCTTTTTCTACTCCAATTCCATGATAATAGCAATAGCCAAGGTTATACTGTGCTCTAGCATGTCCTTGCTCAGCTACTTTTTGATACAGCTTAACTGTCTTTTTAGCATCTTTTTTTAGTCCAACTTCATGTTGGTAGCAAAACCTTAATCCTTGTTCAGCTGATTTTTGATGCAGTTCAAATACCCTTTTAGCATATTTCTCTATTCCAATTCCATCTTCATAGCAAAAATCAAGATTATGCTGTGTATCAGCTTGTTCAACTGTCTTCTTGGCATCTTTTTCTACTACAATTCCACAAATACCAAAGTTATTCTGCACATTATGATTAGCATGCTCTTTTTCAGGCTTTAGCATTAGAAGGTCATTACTTTGGTTATACCATATTAATATCAATATTATTGATAATACTAGCATTAGTATTGGAATCATCAAGGATGAATAAATACTGTATGACATTATAGTATTAGTATTAGCATGTCCTTGTTTAGCTGCTTTTTGATACAAATCAACTGCCTTTTTAGCATCTTCTTCCACTCCAATTCCATTTTGATAACAAGTACCAAGGTTATACTGTGCATTGGCATCTCCTTGTTCAGCTGCTTTTTGATACAACTCAACTGCCTTTTTAACATCTTTTTCTACTCCAGTTCCATAATAATAGCAATCTCCAAGGTTATTCTGTGCATCAGCATGCCCTTGTTCAGCTAAAGTTTGATACAACTTAACTGCCTTTTTAGCATCTTTTTCTACTCCAACTCCATAATGATAGCAAACACCAAGCTTATTCTGTGCATTAGCATGCCCTTTCTCAGCTGCTTTTTGATACTGTTCAATTGCCTTGTTAGCATTTTCTTCTACTCCAATTCCATCTTCATAGCAAATGCCAAGGTTATACTGAGCATCAACATCTCCTTGTTCAGCTGCTTTTTGGTACAGTTCAACTGCCTTCTTAACATCTTTCCCTACTCCAATTCCATAATAATAACAATCACCAAGGTTATTCTGTGCATTAGCATATCCTTGTTCAACTGCTCTTTGATATAATTCAACTGCCTTTTTAACATCTTTTTTCATTCCAATTCCATAATAATAGCAAACACCAAGGTTATTCTGTGCATTAGCATGCCCTTGTTCAGCTGAATTTTGATACAGTTCAGCTGCCTTTTTAGCATCTTTTTCTACTCCAATTCCATGTTGGTAGCAATAGCCAAGGTTGTTCTGTGCAGTGACATGTCCTTGTTCAGCTGAATTTTGATACAGTTCAACTGCCTTTTTAACATCTTTTTCTACTCCAATTCCATTTTGATAGTAATAACCAAGACTGTTTTGTGCAACAGCATTATTTCTTTCCACTGACAATTTATACCAATAGATTGCTTGTTCAAGATCATTTTCAATTGATATGTTATATGCATAGAAAAAACCAGTTAACCAACAACATTGTCCACAATCAATATGGTCTTGGAGTCCTTTGACAAGATAATGCTGTCGATACCATCCATAATGTACTAACCATTCTTTAATTGAGTCAACAATCTGGTCTTGACTTTTTCCTTTTAATAATTCTTCATGGTATTTCCTTGACAACACATCCGAAAATGGATGCTCTGAAGGCATTACAAGTTGAGATATCATGCTTAATCTATCAAAAATCTGCTCACAAGATGGTCTCTCCTCAGTCATGTCATCCCAACATGCTGAATACAACATAACATATGTTTCAGGAGTTCCTGAAACTGGAGCATCTCGATTACCATTTACCCTATAGTTCACAATATCGTTATAGTCCTGGAGTCCATCACACAATCTCTTCCCGCCAGAGATTTCCCACAATACCATCCCAAAACTAAATATATCCGACTTTTTATCCCGCTTAGTAGAAGTGTCATACAAGCATCTAGGGTCAAGATATGGAAGAGTTCCTTGAACATCTGAACGGCTTTTCTGCTGTAAAATCGGATCCGACAAGCCAAAGCCTGTTAACTTTGCCACGCCGGCTTGAATCAATATACTTTGAGAAGACTGATAAAACCAAGTTGCAAATCGCACAGTGTAAATATTCTAACAATATAATATTATAAAACGACCGTGTTAACAGCAATAGTTACCAGATTTTTATGTAAAATATCAAGTTCATGAAGATGTCGTAATCCGTCAATGATATTGATACCAAGCTTGCATCTCGCAAGCCAGTCCAACCGATCCGTCTGATAGATAACGTCTTAATGAACCCCCATCCGCATATTCGAAGACCGTGGTGTATCTACCTAGCGGATCTTTGATTCAAATAACAGAATAATTTGTTAATGTCATATTTGTGTTTACAAAGCAAAGTAACCTAATTTACTCAATGCTTACCCTCACTCAATCCGAGGAACCGAATGATGTTAGGATGGTCATCGACTTTGCGAAGAATCTTAAGCTGCAAGTATGGTTGTGTAATCTAAGTAAGCAAGGATATCCGATACGCACATTATCATCACAATACCAACCTGATGTACCACAGTTTCGAACATTTCATCTTCATTTTCTGAATGAAGAGGCTTGTATGCGATTATTCTATCAAGCGTCTTGGCTTTCGCCTTGAAAACTGCTCCATATCTCCCCATACCGATGCACAGTGACTCAATAAAATCACGGTAAGCATAAAATTGGATGCTTCCATCTTCAATACTTTGTCTTAACCATTCCTTATCAGAGTGACTTGAGGCCATATTTTTGTTGCTGTCATTGCAATAATTCATAAGTCTTTCGTAGTCTGGTCGAGTAAGTAGTGTGACAAATAACACGTGATGTGTGGCTGTTGTGTGATACCGAATAATAAATTAAGAAGCTTGTCAAGTAAAAGTGTTCAGGTAAATAACTGCCTACGAATAATTTTATTTCATTAGTGTATTGTGGTGGTGAATAATTGTTTTTATTGAGTAAACATGAAATATTAATTTCGAATCGCCCCTACAAATGTTCACATGTTACATCTCGTAACCTCAGTAAGTTAAATCGTAGCACGTGTTTTTGACATTCGATTGTATTGATGGAACTAGAACAAATAAAGCAACCAGTTCAGTCTACTTACTTAACATATATCGTCCTTTGTATGCTGAGGCATGACATTGTACGACAAAATGAAAGGAGAAAATAGATATTGCTTAGCAGTTTGTATGGTTGTTGTTATTGTGGCGGCGCTGATGTGGCTGTCATTGCTGGTAATATTTTACAGACGTTTCTGAGTCTCACAGTCTCAATTATTATTTTAGTAAAAATGCCGAAACAATCTAATCGTGATTATTCTAAGTTGTATATAGAAGCTGCAAAGGAATTATACAAAGGACGCGATGTCGATGAAGTTATTGTTGAATATTCAAGAAAAGCACCTCTATGTGAAACACCAGCTGACCAAATAAAACTTATTAAAGCTGTTGAAAATTTAGAAAGAAAAAAATTTGCCAAAAAAAATCCAAATTTATTCGAATTGAATCGACAATTACAACAATATAAACGTTATGTACGAACATTGCGATTTGAAAATCAACGATTTAGGAGAAAGTATTATTCATTAAAATCTTTGGTAAGAAATAAAACCAATGTTACGATTGGGTCATCATGTGAAGATATTGATGTTTCAGATTCTGAAACAGATTGTGATGATAATAGTAGTCATGGGAGATAGATATTTTATTAGATATTTGAAACAATTGAAACAATAATATTAAAAAAGAGTAATAACGTAATACAAATAAAAGATATAAATAAGTGAAGTTGTCAATAGATATTATTATATTAAAATGGATTTGAGTAAGCCTTTAAAACGATATAGAGAACTAAATGACAAGTTGAATGATGATGAGAATAAAGCATTTGAAAAAGTCATATCAACAATTACTAAACACGAAAGAAAACGCCGTAAAAAATTGACAGTATTTAACCATTTTTTGAATATTCCAATTGAAATTCTGATTATGATCTTATTTATGAATTATAAAGAAGAATGTCCTCGAGGACATACATGGTGTGGTAATGATAAACCAAATCATCGATATAGTAATCGACAAACTATATTTAGATTGATGGAAGTTTGTAAAGATTGGTATCATATTATTGGTCCTAAAGTGCAAAAGATTATTGTTTTAAATCGAAAATTTCTTGATTTTGATGAACAAAAAGATCGTTACGATTTACAAAATTAATAAATTCAAAAAACACATGTTTCGTTGATCATATTAAAGAAATTATTATTTATGACAATTTCTTTTTTAATTCGACAATGTTAAAAATCGTAAACACTTGTTATAATTTAAAGAAATTAATATTGAGGTTTACTACAACTTTATTAAAAAATAATATTTCTAATGAGTTTTTTAGACATCGTATTACTCGTAATTATTATTCTGAGATAATTTTGATAATACTTTTGATAAATCCAGTTTAAAGAAAAATTTTATTAGTAATCTAATTCGTTATTATAATTCGAATAATTTTATTTGTCAGAAGTTTATTATTGGTGAATGTAATGAACCCATTTATTGGGGGAAATCTATATATTGGCATTTTTGTTCTAACCATAAAAGTGTAGATTTTACTAGGGTATATGGACGAAAAATATCTTTTATTAATTCTGATATAGGGGATAGTATTATTGATAATGATAGTGATTATAATAGTGATTACGAATCAAATTAAATTATCAAACGATATTTCTATAACTATTGTTTATTTTTTAGTTATTATTTATCTACATATAAATAAAGCATACCCAATATCAAATGTTAATTATGATTGGCAAGATTATGATTCTGACGATGAAACAGATTCATCGGATTAATTTCTTATTTCCGATCAAATAAAGACCAGTGATTTTCATATGATTATTGCGCAACAGTTTCGACACTTTCTGAGACATGATTAATTTAGTAAGTTGTACATGTAGGTTATACCTTTGAACGTCAGCGACTGAAAAGTCGGTGGAAATGTAGATGATAGATCGATAAACATTAGTAGTTAATTTGTGTGTGTAATATGATCTTCACATGATTGCGCAATCTATACAAGCCACAAAATTTTTTATATATAACTATAACAAGATTTTTGTTACATGAGAACGTTCTCAATAAGATTATGATAAAATTCTGTTGGACAATCGAAGTCCTAAAAATGAGATTATCAATACGCGAACAATACTAAGCTTAAGAATTTCTTATATTCAACTATTTATTATTTTTATTTTTTATCATTAATTTGAAATATAATTATTTATTTTATATTTTGGGTCAATACGACTATATTTTAACGAACTTAGACCCATTTGATATCAACTTTTCACAACATTCTATATTTCATAAATTTAGTAATGGTAATTCTTTAGAAAATTTGATTATCAACTTAGTTGATGGTAGTTTGGACATAAATGAGGTCCCCATCATTCAAGTATTTATTAAAGATAATTTATTTTTCTCTTCCGACAACCGCCGCCTCTATTGTTTCAGAGAGGCGATCAAACGAGGCGCTACTTTCAAAAGAGTTCCCGTTAAAATTACAAAAATTTTAAAAAATAATGAAACTAAATTAGCTCTTAGTAAATACATCATTTCCGAACATAGTAATTGGAATGATGTAAAAATTTCTGATACCTTTTGTAATATTTTAGAAAAGGATAACATAAAATTTAAAGTATGTAAATGATTATTTTTTTTTATTTATCCGTTCATTCAAAAGTTTGAGTCACTAAATCATAAAAAATGGAAAAGATTAATATAATAAATTGACTTTATTTAGCATTAACACGTAATAGATTGGTATTATCATACCTGCAGCTGAATCCAAATCGTAATTATTTCTCGGTTTAGGTAAATTTCCGGTAGGTAAGAGCTTACTGGAATATTTACTCTCCTTCTCGCGAGGCGATACAGGTTCTACATCATTATAATAGATGGCATCCCACGTAATGTCATCGGAATACTCAAGTTCCTCATCAAAGAGCTTGCTAACAACATCACGGAGTCTCCTTGCAGTTGGGCGCTTATCAGGATCAGCATCACAACAAAGCTGAGCAAGTTTTTTATATTCCTCTGGTGCTGAATCGGGCATCGGTGGTCGCAGTCCTCCCATAATATCGCATACTAAACTTCTATCAAATTCTCTATCTCTAAAAGGTGGTTCACCAGTAGCAATCAAATACATAATGATACCAAAAGAATACACGTCTGATTTCTGAGTAAATTTGCGAGTATAAAAGACTTCTGGTGCGATGAAGGGTAAAACGCCTCGAATGGCTGAATTTGACTCGTGTGAATTCACTGATTGAGAAAGGCCGAGATCGGATATAAATGAAGCTATACTATTATCATTGTAAACATGCAGAAGAATGTTTCCGCCGTGAAGATCACGATGCACTAATCCTTCACTATGAATATTGTTCAAATGCCACGCAATATCCTTCAAACACTCTAATTTCATCTTCCACGTCACTTTGTTAATGTTTTGACTCAAATAAGACGAAAGACTACCATTTTCAACATATTCCATAACAATCATGTACTCTTTTGTGTCTGGGTCTTGTGTCACTCCATGAATTTTAAGGAATTGAGAAATTAGACGCATACACTTGGCATGATTTCGGAACTATAAATAAAAACGAATACAAAGTCAGATTAAATATCGATTAATTAATACTATCAATTACTGCTTACCTCGGAAATAAATAATTCCAGCGTCTGATCAAATTTATTAAATCGTTTGAGTACAACAGTTTCTTTCATAGGAAATACTTCTGAGTACTTTCTATATTTGGTAGTATAAACTACTCCATAACCACCAGACCCGATTTCTTCGATTTCATAAAAGTCGCTATATTGCATGTACTTGATATGTTTGTTAGTTCGTATAAATCTATCCAATAGTGAGTGTACGTCGTGGTAGAACACTAAATAATATTTGCGAGTAGATGAATCCTGAGCGATTCCAATTATCCAGACTTTATCAGGTGTTAATATCTCCGGGTATTCTTCGGTTAACTATAAAATACAATTGTTACAACAATAACCGTTATTTATCGATTAATTGCATTGTTTACACATAAAGTAATTTTAATTACCTGATGAAAATCAAATGGCTGATCCTCTTCATCAATTATCTTTTTGAGTGTCACTCTCGTCGGTTCATCCGCTGTCGGCTCTAACCAATCTGCCATATGTGTGCATCCATGGCGTAATGATGTCATCTCTTGTATATTTGTCAATAGAGAGTATTCTATCCATTGTAAATGTGAATCATACACATTCACTACATTACTCCACGATTCCATAATAAATGAATCCAAATAAGTATTGCCAGTAGTCCAATCAGGAGGCGTTAGTGCTTTACATTTATAACAAAATCCATTTATATGACGTTCATATGGAGTCGTGCATTCCAGACATGATCCATACTCTGATTTCACCAGACAATACTTTTGTATGTTTATATCATATGTAAATCCGATGGTAACCCAAACATCCGCGGTAAGAATATCCGGATGGTTATCACATAACTAGTGGAAATGATACATAATACCAAGTCAATAATTATTTAAACTATTCAATAAACATGGCGCATGTAAATAGTTTACCTCGGCATAATATAAATCATGTGTCTCGCCTGTTATCTCAAGTGGAATCAATGTAAACGGTTCATAATTAGAAGTAGGTAGACCATTTAATTGTATACCATATTTATAATTTCTAGGTGGAATCCATTCCAAATAGGCATCATTTGGTGAGTTTGTTTGTAATTGAGATTTCTTAATAAACTCATCGAGTTTCTTGTTGTTGCTAGTCCATCCGTCAGATAATTGTTTATGACCACAAACGCACCACACGGGACTACATCGGAGTATTCCACATGCGGCGCAGAATCCATAACGAGAATAACAACCGTAAAAAGGTCTATCAGCAACCATGTAATAGTTATCATCAAGTTTGGTAAACCCCATTATAAGTTCGTTGCGTTCCTCAAGCCATACGGAATGTCTTCTAAAGTTATTGTCATTATTTTTGTACTTGTGCGTTGGAAGTGAGTATATTCTAGCAAACTCACTCACAAGTGTTGTTATGCATTCTTCGCTACTTCCAAGGAATATCAATATCATGAGGTGTTCGTTGCCGTAGTAGACGTTGTCAATTTGAGTTGGCTCTATGTCGGTAATATCTAAGTAATCAAGCCATTGTAGTTCTAAGTTGCTTTCCAAGGAGGCTTGAATCAAGTTCTCGATTGCTGGATTATCAAGATCTTCTAGAGTTAACGACATAGTTTAAATCAAAAAAATGAGATTATCGATATGTAAACAATACTAAGCTTAAGAATTTCTTTACTATTATTATACGAACAATATGTATGAACTGGATTTACTCGAATCCTTATAAATATGAAACGTTTACTATACAAACTATGTAAGTTTACGCAATTCCTGAATTCAATAACGTTAAACTTTTTTAAAACAAAAAAAAAATAAACATCCAATTAAAAATGAAATCTTTCAAGCAAATCCTCGCAATTAAGAAATCAACTTCGGATTCGAATGAATCTATTTTTTGTGAGGAAAACACCTGGGGATTATCACAATGAAATATAATAAAAATCAGATTAATGAAAGTTTGTATCGTACAAAAAAAGATTAGTTATTGCGCCACATTTTCA